GTAAAATATTAATGCAACAGGAATAATTAAATAAAATTTTTTTGAATATTTATCTAAATTTTGAACCAAACAATAACCATAACTTCGGAAATTTAAAATGTATGAGCCTTCATTAATATAGATGTACTTATATTGGAACTACAACTTTACTAGACTTCTAGTAAAGTACGTCTGTCAACTAAACAGACGTAGTATTTATTAATAATTGTTGCTTATATAAGTATTACGAGTAGTAATTAAAATTAAAATATCTTGAATAATATAAAATCATCCTTAAATTTCTATGAATTTAATGGAATAAGGATATTTGTGTGTTCAGATTTAATAATTTAATAAATTAAATAAGTCCGCTTCATGGTGTTAGTAACATTTCTTCTATTTCCGTTAAATTGATTTCACGGTGCAAAAATATTAATTTATTTATTTTTTTTGAGGTATATTACGAAATCAATTTAGTTTGTTTCTTTTCTTATTTGTTGTTTCTTTACTTGTGTTTATTAAAAAAATGTGTTGTTATAATACTATCTTTTAATTAAAAATAAGCATCTAACATGTTATGTTTTAATGCTGCTTTTAACGATTTTTACTTGTTTATCCTGTAAAAGCGTTTGTCACTCTAAACGTATTGGTTGCAATTATTTTAATACAATATTTTATGAATTCGACATTCAAAAAGGGATTATGATCGATTTTTATGGTACTGATGTTAGGTAAAGTCGCTTTAGCAATTCTTTTATTAATACAATAATTTACAATTTTATAACATACAAATATTATAATTACGCTTTTAAATTAAATTTTTCGATAGATTCAAATATATAAGTGAATCAGAAGGCAACAAGACAAATACTTTCTTATGAAAATTCGAAAATAGTGTTTACTACAAGTATGTCCAATCAGTCTACGCATTTTTAGTTAATACAACATATGCTATGAACTTTGTTATTTAAAGATCGCTTCCGCAAGACTATTTATATACATATGCCCACTATGCCACGCACGCACGCCATGTAAAAATACAAACATAACTCCTTCTTCATCTTCATTTTCATGTTCATGTGCACATAACGTTCCAAACAGTGGCGTAACTACAGGGAAGCAACTGGAAGCAACGCTTTCGGGCCCCCGAATTTAGGGGGCCCCACTATAAATTTTTGTATTCATTGTATTTATTTTTAATAAATTCTCAAAAGTGGGACAAACGTTTTTTGTTGGAATAACTTCATATTGCATTTTATAAAAGATACGTAAATTTTAAATTTAAAGTACATAATATGTATGTACTTCAAATAAAATATTAAACCTATTTATAAAATAAAAAACTTTTTCTAAGAAAAATATGTGTCTTAATCGAGAGTTTATATGGAAGCTATATCTAGATTTAAACCCATTTAAAAATAATTTTGTACGTTGTCTTTTGCAAATATCAGTACTGTATACACCAAATTCCATTTGAATTTATTAAAAACGGAGAAACTTCATATCCGATTGTTAAGTTTATATCACAGCTATAAGAAATAGACGTCCAATTTCAATCAAATCAAATGGTGAACAGGGTCGGCTCCCGAAAAGTATGTGTGTAAAGTTTCATTCGAAGAGTTCAAAAGCTGAGAGAGTAGTTTGAACTGAAAAAGTATATATATATTGTACTGATATACATATACTTAATGATATTTCCGACGTTTCCTTTAATGCGTTACGAAAATCTTGACAAACCTTATATACCCTTTTCACATTTTTTCGTGTAAAGAGTATAAAAAGAGGGGCCCTTTAGTATGTTGATAGGGGCCCCTTAGTTAGAATTTGCTTACAGGCCTAAAAAATGTAGTTACGCCACTGGTTCCAAATGATAAATTATATCTTGGATTTTCGTAGTGAAGAGGTTTCGATGGGCAATTGTTAGATGTACATTTTATGAAGCCATGATGAATTTGTCCCTTAAACTTTCTTCGTCAGCATTTGTAAATTATTAATTTTCTTATATTTTTATTTCATGCAAAATTGACATAAAATTTGCACTTAAAATATTTACTGAAAAAAATTTCATAAAAAATAAATATGAGAAAAACTGTTGAACTTTTCAGAAAATTTAAATTTCTTTAATGGTTTTTATTTATTTATTTTTTCCTTTGTTTTGTTATTAGAATAAGTCAACACCATGCCGTCTTCTAACCCATTCAACTGTTGCGGAAAAGAGAACACAAATAAAATTGGTTATAAATAATTTCTGGCAAAAAATCAGCAATTTTTCCCGATGATCTCCAAGTATAGCGTTTTGGCAATTTGCCAAATTTGATTTAGCAAATACGAGGGGAAAGGGAATGGATTAGTAAACATATGCGTAAATGTAAAGAGAAAACTAATTCTCTTTTTTTTCCTTACTCTTAGTAAAACTTCATGAAATTTAAGAGAAAGTGTCCAATGAAAAACAGGGATTTCACTTATGTTTTATACCGATTTATTAATTAATTTGTTTGTTTTATAAAGAAATTTTATGGCATAATTTAAACACAGCAGTGTTTCTCTCTAAAATTTAACTAAGGTGAAGGATAAAAATCTTGCAGAAACGACTTCTTTTCTTTGCGATGTTGCTTTGATGTACCACAAGCAGTGTTCATTTAAAATAAATTTGATATTTTGGTATTAATTCTGTGTATTTGTATTTTTTTTAAAATATGCTAAAATGTTATGAATTTAAAAAAAAATTGAAATAAATATATATTTTTCAATTATCTAACATTCCTGAAATATTGAGTGTCCACTACTGAAGGAAATTACTTCTTCCAATGAATTGAAATATTTTTACGAACAGTAACCTCAAAATTATTTACTTTCTACAGTATTTATTTTATAAATAATATTAGAAAATATTCTGCTACGGAAAAACTTAAATTTAGCTCTACACGCTGGTACAAAATTGGAATTTAAACAAATAATAGTTTTTGAGCATATAAAGGTGATTTGTATTTTCTAATAGACCCAGAAAATCGTTTGCCCCCTCGCCGAAGCGTATTAAATACTAGTGAATATATTTTATTTAGTTTTGAGTGTTTAACTTTAAACCAGTAAAACCACATCTTAAGAATAAATAGAAAAAATGTTCATAACAGTCCCGGAGGCAGTGGGTAAAACTTGATTCCAGTAATTAGGGGTGAGAGAGATGAGATAAAGAATCTTAGCACTAAGAAGTCCAGGTTTATATAAGCCAGAAGACATAGGTTTAGTAAAGGAGTCTGAAAGTAGGTGATGGGCGTTCGGTTATTGCACAAGCGCGGGGTGGGTTAATTGTAGGCTTTGCGACCAGAGTCACGAAAGTCACGGCTACATAGGGGAGTAATGGAAACATCTAAATGCATGTCATCGAAGTATGAGAAAAATGAACATATGTGCAGTTTGTGCTGTTTAATTACTCTAACTAAACGATAGTTTTGAATCCATACGTGTTTATTCTCGTTTAAAGTGTTTTTAGTGCAAAGCAACCACCACAGATTCAAATACTACATCTCCATAAATGGAGTTAAAGGCAGACAGTAGCAGAATAGCACTACCCCATTTCATACGAATAGGTGAAAGTTTTGATATTACATTGTTAATATTCATACTTTGCAAAAAAAACTATTTCAATTTTAACGTAAACTGCTCAAAAAGTGTTCAGATTTTGTTGTTTGTTAACTACTCCTGAAGTAATAGACCTTTTTTAAAAATTTTTAACATATGGTACAAATTTGAGCGCCTATTCCGAAAACTCAAATTGCCCCTTCATGGTAAGCGTTTTGAGTTGATTGAATCGGTAAAAGAGAATTCGCTGAAGGAACTAAAAGCTATACCTTCACGGGTCTACGAAAAGTGTATCTAAGATTGCGTTAAGCGTTGGCATATGTGTATCGCTTCAGAAGGAGCATATTTTGAAGGAGATAAAATAAATTTGAAATAAAATTTAAATTTGTGTTTTATTTACAAAATCCGAGCACTTTTTGAGCAGAAGGTATACCGGTAGCCAGAAATTATTTCGAGGGTATATCAGAAAATTTCAGTAGTTCAAAAAACTAAATCTGAAAAACTATCTGAACTAAATTCAAATATAAATAATATTTATAAAAATATTTTAAAAGCATTTAATTTATTGAAAGTATTAGTCGTTTTTGTTAATTGATATACTTTATTTTTTTTTAAATTAATTTAGTTTCACATCAAAATTTTTTATGCAAATATTAACTACTTCGATATATAACTCGATATATACTAGTGTAAACTGAAAGATCTATCTACACATGTATCTGTCGATAAAATGTAATATATTAGAAAATATACAATATATTAATAAATACTCTTATAATATGGGTATTAATCTATTATTGTACGATTCGATACCGTATGTACGATTTATTTGGTGTATTTTTCAAAGAATCATGCCTTAAATGTAATATATTAGAAAATATGCGTAAATATGCGTAAATATTTTTTATTATCTCGATGAAGTTTTTTGTTTTTATATAGTCAATACATAATTAATGTGCTTTAAGAATATTAGAAAAAATGTTCTTTTAAAGTGAACTAATTTATAATTTTCATTTATAGTATTTAAAAACGGTTATTATTTATTAAATATTTACGTGTCAAAGTTACCGATTAAAACAACAATAAACAAAGACCTGCCAATGGCTTTTAAGATAAACATTATCAATATTTACATTATATATACATTTTTTTATTTCTATTTTAATTTAATTTAAACATATGGTGTTAACAAAGTTTTTATTTTGAAACGATGGAAGACTTTTTATAATTCGTTTACCGAAATATACAAATTTTTGCCTAAAATTAAAATATAAACACAATAATTTGTTACCGTATTTGTTTAAACTAAATTGTACAGTTTCTTGTGCATTATTAACAAAAAATGTACTTCATTTCATTAATTTTAGAAATAAAAGAAAAATTATCAATTTGAAATATTCATAAAAATAATAAAATATAGAGTTAGCCATTAATGATTCTTATTCATAAAAACAGCATATATTATATTACTTTTTTTGTATTCTTAATAGTTTATTTATAATTTGATCCAACATTTTCTTGCCTATTTGCGCACAGTTCCTGTTTTGTTTTTGATGCGATTGCTTCGGTCGTTCAAAGCAGATGCTTTTTATAACGATCTGATCAACCTTGAAAAAGTTGTTATATGGAACTATCCATCTTTTGATTCCGTTCAGAGGTTTAAGTATACGAAGAGGCATATTTGTGTTCCGCTGTTCCGCTACACAAAAATTATGTCACTGCGATCTGGCTTTTGTACCGTCGGTTGACGCTGGAACGCGTAAACATTAACGATTAATTGTGCCATAAAAATAAAGCAAAACAGAATGATTAAAACCAAGTATAAAAAGATATCGCGCAACATTGTAATCTAAATTAACGGCTAGTCCTATTGCTTGCTGCCATGAGAATAACTTGACTTTCTTAATATTATGCGGAATCAGTCGCTTATGTTGAACTGTTTAATTCGTACTGCTTCCACTATATAATATAAATATTTGGTGGCTGTTACCGTAACTGTACGGTCACAGTATGGAAAATACGAGTAGTGCAATAATTTCTTATTCTTTTTGAAGCGGTTGACATAAAACACTTCAGAAACAATTGGACTGAAGTAAGCGCCACAAGTTGATGAAATAGTATGCCTCGAAAAAATTTCTGATATATTTTCCTTTGTTATATATTTAGTTTGGTTTGATGTAAGTAGCATTTACCTGTAGAGTTTTAAGAGGTTCACAGAAGTTTTGTTTTAGTTCATACCGCTGTTTAACAGTTGGAGCTGATAGTACTGAATTAGTCTAGATACGTAGTGTATTAACATATCTTCACAGTATCTCTTCGAATGCTGTAATATAGTAGTACTGATGTTGCATTTGGATTTACGACATGAATGTTTTTGCAAATCACTGCAATTCTGCAAAAATAAAGTATTAAAAAAAATGATTATGAGTAAACTTATACAAAATCATATAAAATTAGAGACGGTTGCATATGTTCAGGTGATTGCATTCAGGTGGAATCCTTACTTAGGCACATTCTACATGCAATGGAAATTATGCCGTATATTTCAATAGAATTTAATGAGGAAATGGAAAATGAAATTCTTGACAAACATTCAGTACATTCGTCGTGTGCTTTGTTTGGGTGCTGGGAGTTATTCTGGTTAATACTTGGGAACTACAACCACTTTCCCAGTTGTAATGTTGAACAGTAAATAACAGAAATAAAAATGTGGAGCAAAGTTGTTGAAAGTGTTACAAAGCATATCAGGGATACTCTACATTAATGGGATTACAAGTACACAAGAAATTTAAAGCCAATGTGTTTCAGACAAAAATTTCGTTGAGTAGTACACAGCGTCTAATAAATTTTTATAATTTTTAATATAAAAATACTTATGCTATCACAGAAGTTTTATACAGTATGTTTCGTTTTAAAGTGATTCTATTTAGAGTGAAAGTAATTTATTGATTAGCATAAAGAAAAAAACTCGTTTTGTCCACTTCCAATGTATATTGTCAAAATTCTTTAAAAAAAAACGAATAAGTTCGCTGGAGACTTTTAGGAAGTTAAAGCCATACATTTTTTTTTGTTGTTTGAAACACCTCCCGAAGTGAAAACATTTTCAAATGAAATAGCTTGCATATTTGTATTACATTATAAAAAAATAAAATTTACACACATTTGATATAAGAACAGAAAATTAAAGCCATACTAAAGTTAATTAGTGAAACGATAATCAGAATTATATCATATGTTACATATACATATATACATTATAGTTATGATAAGTTGTTAACATCTGAAATAAGTAAGCAATACATTTTTTTCTAGCAAAATATTTAAAAATAAATAAATTTCTTTAATTAAAAAGAAAATCTAATAATTCTTTAAAAAACAGTTATTGACCGATATATCGACTATATGCTATAGTCATTCTATAGATGTTCTTATATTATAACTACTCAAAAAGTGACCAATCAATTTTTGACATAAAACAATAGATAATAAATTTATAACTAAAATTAAATTTATTCACACGGGTTTATTATGATTTTATTATTTTTGCAAACATTAAAAGCTGAAAAGTAAATAGATGATAAAAATAAATTTGTTCAAAAATAAAAAATAAAAACCAGAATGAAAAATCCTTGCCCCTAAAATTTTGCTATGCTTTTAAATGGGACAGAATTGACTGAAGCATAGTTTTTTAATGCGTTTGAAGTTTTTTTCGTATTAATGAAAATCCTTTCAAAACATCCTTAAAAATGAAAAGCAAATTGTGACACAGGTTGATGTGTTGAATATTTTACCAAAAAAGAACGATGATATATTTATAAAGAAAATTATGAAGACTGCAGATTCGCTTCCATATACAATATATATGTACAATACCAAACATGCTTAAAATTGAGCTTATTTTGAATCCTGTAGTAGTGACTGCGGTCCTCGTTTATTCATATACGCATCTAAATTTTATTTCATCATTTTTCCTCTCAATTGCTAACCTTCTTGTACCTTTAATATATTCTATTAAAATACCAAACGTGTGCCTATTTTTCATAGAACCTTCATGATTTAAGATTGCATGAAAAACGTTTATAAAGTAAATGCAGTTTCACACTGAAATTGTAAATTGTTTTTCGTAAACAGTTTACACGTCAACAATTTTTAAGATTTTTAAATCCGAGAATTCCATAATCAAATAGTAAAAGTATTAAAAGAGAAAAATCTTCTACAAAGTTGCAAGTCGGATCACCACCCACGCAAAAAGTAAACAGAAAGACCAAGCAAAAAACTCACAAAACTCATTAAAAACTTTTTGTGGAAAAAATATATTTTTATTATGTTCGTATCGTTATTTTCATGAGTACATGGAAATAATCTGGAACAGAATGATTTAAAAATGTTTTCGAGTTAGCTTTCAACGAAATCTACAATGATGTATTACATTCAGTGACTTCGATTTAAATGTTGGGTTATTTTGTTAATAATTTATAAAAATGCAGTATTTAATATTTAGTTTATATTGTACTTCTTTATATATTACTAATATATAAATAATATATATGTACATCGTTATATAAACTTTATAAAGTTTATTTAGAAAATCAAAAATAATTATAATGTATTTAAATATTGCTGCATGAAGGTATTATAAGGAGTTGTATCTTTGTCTCATAACGTTTTCATATATATCGAATTTCACATATGAATGTATGCACGTGACATTCGAAGAACATTATATTTGCCACCTACCTAAATTATAGCTATTGTTAAAATATTTATTATTTATACAATTTTTATTTGTTATCTTATACCACATATGACCAATATTTTGAAGATTTATTTATTTTATTTAATTTACTACAATTACTTATTTCTTAGTTCATATGCACCGTGCAACCAATTTAACATACGCAGAAGGAATAAGAGAGTATGAATGTCGGAGCATATGCCGACATTTAATTTAATATTTCCTGTGGCTATCAAACCAAGTCACGTTTTTCGAATCACGGCCTTGTTTTTCTGTTCTGATATATAACTTTATGAGCCCAATAATCCTTATATTTTTATTTCATTGCATTGCATTGAATAGCTTATAAATTTAATCCTTACCTCTCCCACTTTCACCAACAGTTCACGTATTGTCCGCGTTGAATTGTAAATTAATTTCATTTGTACGCAGCCATGCCGCTTATCTACGTTTTCACAGTTGGAATTTTTCATTCAAATCCCTAATGACACAATTTGCTTCCTTAAATTCCATTCACAAAAGAAAAGAACAATTAATGAAATGTACAACCGAAATGCTGAAATGAATTTTACGTAGCGTCGCGTGGTGCACATCATAAAATTATATAAGTTCGGCCAATTTGTTGAGCATCCGACCGGCACGGAGTTCCTTGCACGACTCTGTCTATGCGTGTGAGTTCGCATCGTCTTATAGTTCCGCTAACGTTGGTTCTCTGCAATCGGGAAGCCTCGTTGTGTGCTCGTGCCATTTCCTCTTTTCTGTCAGGACTTTTGTGCTGTTTTGGGTAGAAGTCGTATTTTCTTGGCGAAATAAGTTTACATGCTGTCGTTGTAGTTGTTCTTTTAGTTGCTTTTATGCGCCTAGACATTTTGTTTTGTTTTATGTGCTATTGTTGAAACGCTATTTGCTGTTTGCTGTAACTTGTTCCATTGAACCAAATTCTCTACGAAGTTCTTCGCTGCATGAGTTATTCCTACAAGCCCTTTCTGTAAATTTCGCACTGTTGCTGTCATTGCCTCTGTTGCTTTTCTTAGCTCATACTAAAAAACCACACATACATGGAATTCCATTTGCCAGAAATGCGTCACTTTTAAAAGTTGTGCGAAGTCTCTATTTTTTGCAAATGTCATTAATCCGCGATAGAAAAATGGTCCTGATAGACTTGAACGGTATTGCGATTCGAAGAGGTACAAAACAATATATTGTACAGAAGTGCAATATACAATTTCAATGTGAAGACTCTAATATTTTGTTTTTTCACAAACTTTTATAAAAAGTAAACTCTCTGCTTAAATTTTAATATATGATCATGCCTCACACTTCTATATTGCACGCACTGAACACCAATAACATAACATCCAACGACATTTACTATGAGCTGTGTCTACTATTTAAACGAAAAAGGGTGCACTTCATAATATTTTACTAAAATTAGTTATTTTTGGGAGGAGTTGATGATAAAGAGCTCAGTCCAACGTCAGTAAATTAGAGTATTTGTTCGTTGTGTGTTCAGATTTTGTTTTCCATCTTCCTTTTGAAACAGGAAGTTAAAGAAATTTCCGTTTTTGAAATATTTTTACTGAGCAAATAAGTGAGGTCGTTGTTGTTGTACTCATTATTGACTTTTTGATGTTATTATATTTGTTGCTCTTAAGTAAATATGACTCGAAATGATGTGCGCCTTAACTTCCTTTCAATGATTCATTTCTGCCTATCAATTGACTGCCGGTATGGCCGCATATTGCCCATAAAAATTGCTTGTTTTAAGGTAATATCATTCAGAGTTTACTCTTCTTTTGCACTAAATTGGGTGTTCTATTCAAATATCCTATAAATTTATCCTCTCAAGCCAATTTAACTTTGCAAAATAAGTTCGTAATTGCATTATGTGTTATGTGCACGGTGGTGCTAAGTTATGCAGCGGAAGAAGTTGAAAATGCTTTCCAAACAGTACATTGCTCTATTATCCACATAGATTGGTTATAACCTATAAATCTAGGAAATCAATTGCAGATTTGTTCATACCCATCTGCATATTTCCATTCCATTTTCGAACAGTTAAAATTGCTCTACGTGTTGTCAGGTGCTTATTTTATTGCTTTTGGGTGCGATTTGGTTGCGGAGGATTCTATTGTAAGTAATTGTCGCAATTCGTTCGCAGAGCTGTTTGTCAGAATGTGTCCTAATTTAGTTTGATTTTATTTTAATTTCATATTTTTAATTTGTATTTCTATTGATTTTTCAATTAGTGCTCGAAAGCGCACATGGAGCACCTTCTGTTACGCAGTGCTCCGTGCCGTGATAACAGTTAGTTACTGTTAGCTCGTGAACAGTGATGCGTGAATGCCAAAGTGCGTATTTACGATTTCATTCGTTTAATTTGTTGATTTTGTTTACAGCGCCGTCTCCTCGTAAAACAATTTATGGAGTAATTTTAAAGTGTTTAGCGTGTATCTCTTAAACAATAGGAACGCACTTCTCAACTGATTGTATATGTTGTTGCTTTTGAAGTTGTTATGCTACAGTAGTATTAAAGGCAATTCAAATTTTTTTACACATTTGCTGCATCAATCCCCTCACCTTACCACCCAATCACCCAACCACCATATCATCTTGTTGCCTGTTTTTACTTCGTTATGTAAGTGAACTTTACAGATAAAAGTTACGTAGCAAAGTAATTTCCTGTGCGCTCATAACTGTGCAATTCGTAAAATATTGTAGAATTTGTTTAAAGCGCAACAGGCTTAAGCAGGCATGTCTTAAGAAGTTAATTTGTGTACCTAAATACGTCCCTGTCTGCCACCTCACATTCTCAAGGTTTCCTACAACTTTTGCCATCTTAGCTTTGACAGCAAAAACGTGAAACGTTTACGACTTTCATTTGAGTTCTTGTAATGTGTTTTAATTAAATTTAATAAATGACTAAAATTTTCAAATATTGTGACTTTTTAATAACGCTAATGGGTTTATTCTTGATGCCTATGACAGTTATAGCTAATTTCCATTTTTCTGATGAGCAGAATGCTTTTTGAGTGGTACAGTTTATTGCCTAAAAATTATGGTAACAACTTTATATTTGATTAATTGTCTCATTAGATTCCTTTTGCCTACGACTACTTTTTTTAGAATGAAAATGATTAATTTATGCATATAGATACAATTTTTAATTTAACAAATGAAATTTGTAATATAAAACCTACATACAGCAAAGTTTTTTTCAATGTAACATATAGTATTATTTAGAAGCTATTTATCTACATTTATAATAAACAACTTCAATTGTTTACTAACTATGGTAATTTAAATTAACATTAATATGCTCCATTGAACCCCTTGAATATATTTTTAATTATGTTATGTTTTATAATTACATATTTACAAAGTACGTATGATAAATAGGCGTTCAGGAAAATACACAAACTTACAAAATTATAATTTAATGTATTACAATTGTTATATATATATATATATCTATCTATCTATATCTATCTATATATATATATATATATATATATATTTATATGCAGTGCAAAAAATCCCAAAAAATTTTTCCATTTGGTTTAGCATGAACTTAGCCTAACTCGCACACGTCCTTAGAACAACAAGTTCCATTTATTGAATTTAATATTATTGAGAAAAAGAGCTTAATGTCACACACACATATATATATATATATATATATATATATATATATAAATGCACAATGTTGTGGAGTAGCTCTACTTGAACCAAACGCTTTGGGAAACCTGAAATGTGTACAAAATTTTAACTTTTCACTACAATGGTGGACATAAGTATTTTGACAAATCGCAAAGTAATGTACAATTGCCGATTTCACTCATAGAAGTAACGGTAACTATTAAACTTTCAATAGAAAACTACTATTTATAGCTATAAGATAATAAAAGATCGCACTGATAAGCTAATCCGTTAATTTGCTGTGACATGTTATGTGAGAGACTATGCATTTTTGGCTGTACAAAAGTATTTTGACATTGCATTGTTTTGGTTGTTATTTTTGTCGCGTGCAATAAATACAGCTTTTTGTTATTTGTAAGCTTGGCTAATCTAATCTGAATTTCATTCATTTTTCGCTTTTTCTTATTTAAAATATGGGTAAAACATGTGAACTACGCCAAATCCAGCGTAACAAAATGGTAATAAAGCACAGCGCAGGTATTTCGGCATTTACTTTCGGTGACCGACTCATTGGACATGACTTTATCCTGCAACAGGATAATGCTACATGCCACAATGCCAAAATTATCACAAATTTTCTAAGGGATTTGGATGTAAATACACTAGATTGGCCAACCCAAAGTCCGGATCTAAATATAATAGAGAATGTGTGGGCTTATATAAAACGCAAGAGAAGTCCAAGTATAACAAGATTTTAGAAGGACATTTCAATAATTTTGTTGTTTTTATGACCATAACACACTACTGTTATACACGTATTTTTTATATTTTTTGGATAAATAAATTAAAGTTAATCACACAAAATATACGATTTTTTTAATGTCAAAATACTTATGTCCACCATTGTATGTTTACTATAACATTTGAAATGTCTGATAGTTTAAATATATATTCCTACGTAGTTTATAAGAACAACTATCTGAGCGACACTACACATATGTAATTCTTTGTACAAAATATCTCCCCATTCATATTGGTCTGAAATCAAAACATATTTACAGCTGATATAAGCTGTCAAAATGTAACTCGCACACTTTTTTGGGCTAAGTGACTAAATGTGTGCAGTGTGTGCAGTGTATTGATGTGTCGATACTTAGCATATTTTCGAGGTGGCTAAGTCGAGACTAAATCGCCAGGGCTGCCATTTTAGTATTTTCATATGAATTTTGATATACAAGTTAACATAAATTAATTGGCTGTATAAAAGAAATATATGGAAATTTTTTAAAATATAATGCATCGAGTATCTACATTAGCAAGTTTTTTGGCAAAATTGTTGCAAGCATTTTTTCTTTTTCATTTCACATTCACTCACATGTATAAAAATTTTGGTCGCAACTTTAACATGGCAACAAAATGATCGCACCATCATGACATAACTAACACAAACGTGAAAATGACATGTTGCGAAAATAATGCATAACAATAGAAAAAAAAATTAATACGTACATATGTATGTATATTGAGCTCAAGATAAATTTTAATTTATTTTTAAGCGATATATAACTTACATCAAACTTAAATTTTAACTTGTAACACTTCAAATCTTTGATTTATTAATATTTATATAATAGTGTATTCAATGAGATTATAAATATACAGATCAATGAACGCATCGGGAACATCATCTATTTCTTTTATTTTATTATAATTAATCACAAAATATAAAATCGTATAACTAAGAAAAAAAAACATCATCTAATTTATTACTATTATGAAGTTTTGTAAGAATTTAAATTCAATGTGAGAATTTATGTCTTTAAAAAAGTTATATATATAAAAATATAAACAAAAAAAAAGAAATTTTATACAAGAACAATTTTACTTTAATTTTATTAATACAGTATAATTCGCTTAGGTGCCTCGATGCTTAGCTGCATCGATAAGATAGTTGCCTTAAATTATAATTTTTCCGCATTTATGGCTTCATTTATAAGAAAATAATTACGTTTGCTGCATCCAAGTTAACTGCCTGTCGCACTTAAGCGCCTCGTATCGGCAGAATTAAATTGCCATTTTCTATAAATATCGTCCAACTTAGCTGCGCCACCTAAGAAACGAATTTGCAAACAAAAAAAAGGTCTTTTCGCCATTAAGGTGCTGAAGCGTCTTTGCATTCAAAATAATTGCGAAGAATTTTTACCAAACCTCACATCCTTCGAGGATAGATTTTTAAAATTATCTATAAAAGTGGCTGCAGTGTAAACAAAAATGTTAACTTTCTTTAAAGATAATTAATACTTATTGTCTAAATAATTAAAAATATTTTAATATGTATAAAATAAATA